GGTAATTTCCAAAGATAGTACAGCCTTGGAAGTCTCCATACTTTGGCGACCATTTTCTCGCTAATTTTACCTCTGACACCAAGCGAGCTCAACCTCCTTAACGTAACGTTCATATATCTCGATTTCTATTCAGCGAACTGCTGAGAGAGATGAGGGATTTTTTAAATCAAAGACAAAGCCAATAAGCAAGCTCTAAAATCATACTAACAACTCTACATGCCCAAAATATGACTCCCACTGTGTCGTGACCCAAATGCATTTCCCATGATCACAACGTCAGGCCCCTGACCACAATGTTCGAACCAATGACCTTTCGGTTACGAGCCCAACGACAGTCTTACCCCTAAAACAGCAACGTCGTCAAAATAACAAAGGTCAATAATCCTCTGATCAGAGCAGCAAAAACAAACGGTTTGTCTGCGTCGGCCTTCCAATTTCAGTTGTGAATTTCTGACTGGTAGGTTTTTTTTAAAGTCCCGCGGGCAGAAGACTACAGATTTCTGATGTGAGTAACAGTTAGATATTGTCTCGGTGGTCAAGGAAGGACTCGGAGCCAAATTGCTTTTCACCAATCCTCTTGATAGTCAGAATGGTAATAATAATAATGATCACACACACACACACACACACACACACACACAAGTCTTTTACAAGTTTATTGCTAGTGGTTATCCTAGTGAAATCAGGCCCTCGTCAAATAATGATGCCGAAAAAAAACTGACATTTTACAGCCCATTAACCAAAGTTTATCTTTCTTACAAATCTTATTACTTTTTTTTTTAGCTCAGTACCTTTTATGTCCATTTCAAAACATATTTTTGCCTGAATTTTATTGAAAAACATTGACCAACGGTACAAACAATGTCAATCTGAAGTTTCCAAAGATACTCGATTCTTTGGATTTTACTAAACTTTGCAGCCGTTTTCATGCTAATTTTACATCTGGCATTAGGTGTTGCGTACTTCGTCGCTAATATATCGACGTCATTTCACGATAAATGTGCATTTTCCCTGAAAGCAAGGGACAGGAACATTTTTTGTTGTTGATACCAGCGACTCCATATTATGGTTTTAAAAAACCACACACACACAAAAAGAACTGACGAGCGCCAGGGGTTGCCTGGTGTAAAATTGGCGAGAAAACGGCCTCAAATATTTGGCTATTTCAAAAGCTTGAGTGCCCTTGGAAACTGTCAATTTACATTTGTGTATGCCTTGGATCAACGTTGATTTCCCAGTAAAATCCACAAGAAAGAAATCTGTTTAATTGACTTGAAAGGTGTTGCAACAAAAACAAGCTAACAAACAGAAATGCTTCGAAAAGTGTCGAAAGGGCAAAGATGTGTCGGTTTCTTCCATTTCATTGTCTTGACGAGGGTATGATTTCCCCATGATGCCACACATATTATTATTTT